ACCCTAGTCCAAACCAACCACCTCTAATCAGACTAGCATAACAGATCCTGTCGTCTTTAGGTTAGACCACTTGAGTCAATTTCTCATTGGTCTTCTTGCCTGGATGATGCATGGATGCCTAATCTCTGTCCTAGTTACCTTTCTTACCACTTTACAATTGGATTTCCACACAGCATTGAGCAAGAAACGTAAATCAGGTCATGCCACACCCTGCTTAAAGTCTCCAGTTGGTTCCCTTTATTTCTTAGAATGGAATCTTTACCATGGCATCTGAAAGTCCATGGAATCTGACCCCTTCCCCCCAATATGACCTCATCTCTCACTTTCCCTTTCTCCCACACTCTAGTCATGTGGCTTTCTTTTTTGTTCTAGAGCATGCCAAACTCTTTTTTGCCTCAAAGCCTTTCCATATTGGTCTATCTGCCAGGAAAGCCTTTTCCTTCAGATCTTCAAATGCTTGTTCCTTACACCAAGTCTCTACTCAGCAGTTACCTCCTCACGGAGGACTTTGTGCCCTTAGAGTCACACCTCTCGCCACTGTCACTGTCCTTCATATTGTCCTGCTTTAGTTTTCTTCATAGCGCTTGTGGCTCCCTGAAGTTATATTATTTGTCTGTTCTTTTCCTTATTTTTCATCTCACATCCAGGTCAATGAAGTAAGGGACCTTGGCTATATTTTTCCCTTCTATATATCCAGTCCCTGGAATAGTGCCTAGCACATCATAGGTGGTCAAAAAATAATTTGTGGAATGAAAGAATACCGTGCTCTCTCTTTCCTCTGAGATTTGATGGCCCTATGCTTGTTCTGTCTGAAGGTACCAATGATATTCTACTATTTCTATGTTATAAGGATCCTGAGGGCAGAGACAATTTCACATCCATCCTTGGACTTCCCACCATGTGTAGCTCAATACATGCACATTAAAAGGGTGAAAGAATGAGTGACTGAATGAATGAACATTTTTTCACATGTTGTTCAAATATAAATTTTTTAAATCACAGAGTATCTCAATTTTTTAGCTATATCTATAATCCTATACATGCCATTTTGTGAAACAAAAGAATCTGAACCCAGAATTATTTGGAAAATAAATGAAGTGTTTATTTTTAAGACAGAATCTCATTCCCTTTTGAGGAAACAATATAATAGAAATAATACAAAATGAAGCTGCTATCAAGAGGCTGATGCTGAACTGCTTACTATGCACCCAAATGAGTAGAGAATATATAAAAACATCCAAGCACGTGTTCAGCAGCACAAACAACGTATTGTAATGCTACAAATTGATGCTTTGCCTTCTTAGGTAATGAGCCCAATCTTTAGATGGTTAATAGTGTAATTTCACTGCCAGCACATTCATTTGCATTCACTCTAACTTAGCACTGCCAGAAAATGGACAAAATGTCTCTTCATTTTGTTTGTACAGTTTTGGTTCTCAGAATATTTGGTCCTCAAATGTTCATCTGTCATGAAAAATATTCCATGATTGCTACCTGAGATCCTTTAATTAACATATTGTGTTTTGGAATTGGTGCGATTGTTCCTAAACAAGGAAAAGATGGTTTACTAAGTGCAATCTTGATCTGTTAGCACAGTTCAAAGCATGTTTTTCATGCTTTATTTGTATTTGTTGTTTCAAATTTGAAAGACAAAAGTTTATTCCTTTGGTAAGAATGTTTTTCTTGTAATATGCCCCTATTAACATTGAAGTATTTACCAGTGCCAAGGTCTACCTGTTCTCCAGTACATTTGATGCATTGAACACATAGAATATGTTCCATGTGTTCTAAACATGGACATCTTTAGAACAGTAATCACATCATTCCCTTTCTCCATCCATTCTTTCCCTCTATCTTTGACAGTGCTTGACCTTTAGTAGCAAAGCTTCATTATTGATTTTCACCCAGCATCCACTTCCGTCACCAACCCTAACACAGTCTTTTCTTAGGTCTTAAAGTTTCCCGGGACTTCTGAAGATCAAATTTTACCCTTTTCTCTTTTTGAGACAGGAAACACACCAAAAGTTCCATGAGAAGATGGCTTATTTTGCATTCTCCTAGAAACTTTAAGGATATTGGGCTTTTTCAGTCCCCTAAACACAGGGAAATTATGTGATTACTTATTTGCAACATATCATTTACCTTTTTCCAGATAAGAATTCTGTATTGCCAAGTCTTTGGATAATGCTCTAAAATCCTTTTATAAGGACATAATCTCTTTTGTCCTTTGATAATAGAACACCTGGTGGTCAGGAATTCAAAGGATTTTCATTATAAAGGTTTGCAGAATTTTGTGTCAAGGCCCATAGTGTATCTGCTCTCTTAATCTCTCATCCTGAATTGAAAATGTATCTCAGTACACTGGCAACTTTTGTATCACATGCTCACTTCATTTTTCGATTTGTTTCCTATTTTCCTGTTCCATAATATCTTTAGGAATTATCTGCTTTCCTTCTTTCCCACTCATCCTTCAGCCTACTTGGGTCTAACTAGTTCCTCTGTTGCCACCCCATACAACCAGTGCCAAGGTCACCAGTGACCAGCAGACCAGAAATTCCATAAGCTGCTTTCACTTCACTTTGGCTTCAGTAAGTTCCAGTGCTCTTGTCAGCTGTCAACATGGTCCTCTTTTGGCCTCCACAGCACCCAGTTGTCTTCCTGCCTCTCTGCTGCCCTCTCTCCTTGCCTGCCCATGCTCCTCAGTTAAACATTGGAGTTCCTCAAAACTCAAACTCAAAATACTTGATGACCCATAAGTGTTGTTATCACAGGGCTCTTAATCATAGCACAGTTTCTGGTATTCATTGCTTTGTTCATTGCAACCCAACTTCTACTTTACTGCACAACGAACACGTACATTTCAGCTGCCCAGTTCAGTTCAATTTTACCAATAATT